TGCTGTTGGGTTTTGTGACCAAAAGTTAGCACTGAGCTTTTGAGACTGATACTGAAAGACCGAAAAAAGCCGCCGAGGCGACTTCTGATGAAATGATGCGTGCGCGTAGTAGATAGACCAGGGACAGTAGTTGGACACTTAGCTCAGAACTTAAGAGCCTGATAATGTGTTCCTTATGTTTTTTCAGCAAATCCATGCTATTCTCAAAAACGTAGCCTTCGTATGTCAAACGAAGTGGATACAGAAGAGTTTCTGCTGCAAAAGTTATTGGAAAATCAGCACCAAAATTCAAAAGAATTTGAATTTTGGTGCCAATTTATTAGAAAATAAAAATCCCACGGATAGCAATATTTTATTAGATGTGTATGTATGTATGTGTGTGGGAGAACCTCTTAGGTTTTGTGGAAATTTTAGGGATATAAACTCTTCCATGACCAGGAGAACAGAAGAGAATGGAGGGCCTGAAATCGTCTATGTGTTAACATAAGCAATTGGTTTAGTGTCGCTAGCCCGTCGTGGAAAGCATTCGTTGATTCTAATTTCTCAAACAATCACATTTGTTATAATGCAATCAACTTCAGTCCTAAACAAATTGAAGCTGAACTTGAAAACGGGTTGATTTTTAAAACATGCAGATCAGTTATGCCTACGACATCAGTGATTTGCATTTGCAGTCACTTGTTCTGCTCTCGCTTTAACTTATATAACTATCTCGTCAACCAGTCATCTAGCTATCGCAACTTTTTAGATTTCACATCGAAAATGCAATCGCAAAAGATGTCCGGAATGGGTGAAAGGCGATTGGACTTCATGTTCCGTTACCTGCGGCAAAGGCATACGAACAAGACAGGTATGTCTCCTGTTACTGTGAGTTTGCTGTAAATCTTTATACATCCAGCTCTGCATCAGATTTCGAAATCCTAGCTTTCATTGATAAATCGGGGAAATTAATGCAAGCGTGTATGGCGGGGTGGGAACAAGCACTGTTGTTGCGTAGTAGGTGAGGATTCGATTTTGCCGACAGGAAACCAGTCCGTGTACAATTCGTTCACTTTTTTAATGGTAAATTGGCATTAATATATTCTTAAGAATCAAATCCGAGATCAGATGCTTTCTAAGCAACTGTGGGAAAAGTGAGCCATTGAGAGCTTTGCCAGGTGTCATGCCACTCGGGCTACCTCCTAAGTGCTCATAGAGAGAGGGGGGATACAAAAAATGTTTTAACTATCAAAGTAATTATCAAAATGAATGAATTTTACCATAATTCACTGTACTGAATAATTTTAATAACATATGAAATATTATTAAAAAAAGCTAATGAAATGAAGTAATTCGCATGATTTTTTCAGGTAGAATGTAGGCAAGAAGGTGAGAGGCTAGATGACTATGCTTGCAAGAGTTCCGATCGACCAGACGATGAGCAGCCTTGTTATCGGGGCGTCGACTGTCCA